CCTTTCTGCTGTCTATTTAGTGCCACGTTTTTCACATTTTGTGCTGTGTATTAGTGATTCCACTGTTTATGGTAGTCCCCAACTGCGCTGCTGGAGTGCTGCACAGCAAGAAGGCGGAGAAAATACGTGTGTTAGACAGGCTGCACTCCGACGTGAGTCACAGTGCTGTTGGCCGTGCGTTTAATGTTAATGAATCAGTGATAGATATTAAATGTTTTTAAATAGAAACACACAGAAAATAGCGTTATGTATTGATAGATTAATTAAACTTTTGCGACAGAGGCTCACAGAAACCTAACTCTGCATTTTCCCCAGGAGCACTGATTCAGTATTCACTAATTCAGAGTTCTCATCTCCTTTACAGAACATAACTACCACGAATAAAGAGAATCCACTGGACTTAGCACACCTTTGTTTTATTTTACTTTTAAATTTCTATTTCAAAAATGGTGAACCTAAATCTCACAAGGCTGAGACTTGCCCAAGGCCCCATATCTACTAAAAGATGGAGCCAGAACTTGAACCCAAATGGTGTGACCCCCAACTCCCATCATATTTCTACTCTGAAACACTGAAGATGCTAAAATAACAGAAATGCAAGTGTCCAGTAGGCCAGGTCTTAGAAATCTGCAGTCAGCTACACCACAAAACTGAAAGATAATTCACTGCAAGTCTGTAAGGATGCCTAGCCCCTCCTGGTTGAAGGGAATGGCCAGGTAAAGCACTAGAATCCTGCGTGGCTCCACCTGAGCTGGGCTTTACAAAGATTAGACTTATCAGTGGCTTGTTACAGGATCCACAGTTGGCAGTCCCTGGAGGAGCCCAGTGTCTTAACATTCCACATGCAGCAGAGCCTGGTGGCCTGGAGTCAGATAATAGCAGCCTGGTGTATGTACACTTAATGGTCCCTCCGGCAACTCCAAAGCCCTCCTTCTGCTTCCAAGTCCTGATATATTTTTAAGGAAGACTGATTATGAAGGAAATCAATGAAGGGCATGGTATTGTGAGGGAGCAAAGTAAGAAAAGGAGGCCATGGGGTGAAGTAGAACGACAGCTTTCTGCTCAGGCTGTGCTCCTTTGGGGTTCTTAGATGCCTGTTCTATATCCAGCTGGTCTGCATGAAAATGTAGACACAACTCGTGAGTGGTGAAGTGTGTGTGTGTGTGTGCGCGCGTGTGTGCGTGCGTGCGTGTGTGTGTGTGTGTGTGTGTGTGTATGTTGGGCAAATGGGGTGAAGGGAACCAAAATATCAGAAGAAAAAAAAGAAAAAATTTCCCATCTGCTATATTAGTAATTGACCATCTCTACAAGATCCCCTTCAAATCTGCCCAAATTTGTTCCTTCAAAGAGAAAAAAATCAAAATTGAAAAGCGTCAAACTAGACAGCAGCAGCTCCAGGTTAATCATGGAGTTTGTCTTATCAGCCCCAGCTTCTCCTTCCAAGATTTTCTGCCCCCTCTCAGACGCTCAGGACCCCATGGTCTCACCCTATGTCCACCCTCTAAGAAGCATGGGATTTATTGTTTAAAGGCACCCTGCAGGCCAGCTAATCAGAACACGTACCCAAGGCAGGGATATACACTTTGGCACTATTAAGAGGGTCTTTCGACCTCCACTGGAACACTGTCCACCCTGTGAAGTTGTGGGGGAGGGTTCCTCTAATGACAAGGTCAGCAAACTATGGCCCACAGGCCAAATCTGGCCGGCCACCTGCTTTTGTAAATAGTATTTTATTGTCACACAGCCATGCTTATTATGTATTGCCTATGGCTACTTTCATACTACAGTGGCAGAGTTGAGTAAATATGACAAAGACTGTATGGCCTATAAAGTCTAGAATATCTACTATCTGTCCCTTTAGTGAAAAAGTTTTCCAGATCCTGCTTTAAATGAAATGGAAGGGTCTTCTTACATTACACTGAAATCTGCAATCTGCCCTGTTGGCCATCATTCTCCCCTGGAGTGCCATGGGAGGCTATGTCCTCTTCCATCAGACAGCTCACCCCTGTTCACCATCAGACAACCCTTTGGTTATGTATAATCAATCACTGTGGTTTGCTCTTGGTTCTCTCTTCCCTGAGATGGAAACCCCTGCCATATTCACTCACTGCTTGTATTTTAGAAGGGGACCAATGCACACCCATGCCTGATCATGCTCTGCATTCTAAGGAAGCTCTGTATTTCTCGTGCCCACTCCCTCCCCTCTCCTCTGCCCCAGAAATCTTTAGGTTCTTAAACTTAAGTACTTAAACATATAGTGCTAGATATAACTTGTACTTATTCAGTATCAATTCCCTTTACAAAGAACCTGTCTGGTGAGATTTGCTTTGCCTATTAATCAATTTGCAGCCCCTAGCCAAATGGGTAGGGTAACAAGCAAATGTAGACAAGAAGGAAAAAATGTTTGAATTCCATTTGGCTGGATATTAGAATCAATGATTGCTGTAGAGAAAAAAAAAAAAGACCTTATAGACCAATTCTTTTACTTGCAGAGGAGTGAGCAGAGACCCAGAGAGCTTATAGAACTTGCCCAAGGTCACGAAACTGAGCAGTGGTGAGATTTAGACCAGAACTCAGGTGTTCTGACTCCAGGATCATTCTTTCCACTGTTGTTTTTATTTTCACCTCTCCATATGACTAATTCCATTAGAGCCATAGCAACAAATGTTTTGGGCATCTCAATGAACATAACTGGGATAAGAGAAGATCTGTTCTAGGCCATATTACCCTATATACAAAGATTCCTCTTCATCCCACTTTCCCCCAACTCTCTGAGGCTTTGGAGTCAGGCCTGCGACAGTCAGAAAAAATCATCAACATTTATATAATTTACTGAGCACTTACTATGTACCAAGCAGTCTGACAACTGCTTTTACACTGATCATCTCATTTAATCCTTACAACAACAAGAAGGTATTATTATTATCTACATTGTATGACTCAGAAAACCAGGTTTTAAAAGAGCTAGCTGAGTGGCTATTTGGTGGAACTAGGATCCCACAACCAGACAATCTGACTCCAGAGCTGGAGCCCTGTGGCCCCCATACTCTCCTCCTCCTGTTGTTGAAATCTCACTAGAGCTTATTTACTGCATGACACAGAGCCAAGTCTTTTCACAGAGGCATTGTTTGGTTGTCCTTTCCCTAATGCTCTTCATCTCTTTCTCTTCTTCCATTTTCATGTGCAGTCAAGCAATGATTTTTTTGTGCAATCAGAAAAGATCTATAATGGACCCATTACAAGTCTATATTTCCTTTTCCTGTTTCTCCTCTTATTTTTCTCTCCTTTCATTTTTTTCTTCTCCCTTTAATGGCTTACATCTGCCTAAAGTGCCCACAGGTATTCCCAGCTCAGACAAGGCACGCAGGAATAAGAGTTTGCTCTGCTTTGGATCCTGTTCTGTTAAAGGCACAGGCCACGCTACTGACCCTACCTCCTCCACAGCAGGCACCTGACTCTGGCCTGACAAACTTGGACCCTGAATTCAGTTCTGCTCATATTGGATCTTTCTACACCACACACTATAAGTGATGCTGGAATATAAAAAGAAAATACACTCCCTGCCTTCCTGGAGTTTACTGCCTGGTGGGGGTCAGGGAGACTTCCAGGCAAAGAAAAACACTTAATCTGAGTACTTTAGGATCAGCCAAACCCAGAAAGAGAAAGAAGGTGTGGGTTCATGTAGAGGATCTAACATGCATGGATCCTCAGTCTAGGGTCCACTGAACATGGAGGAATCCCTTGAGACTATTCACGGGGTAAGACTAAGAGTCCTTTACTCAGCCATGACTCAGCAAGCGTTTGCACTGTATCTTATGCCTTTTAAATGTTATCTCATTAATTCTTTACACCGAACTACTGGGTAGGTAGCATTTGCCCCACTGTATAGATCTTATGGGCTTAGAGAAACTAAGTTCCTTGCCCAGTTTAGGAAGATAAGAAGTGACTCAGGTGAAACTGGAAAAGTGCTTATTCTGATTTTCAAGTCCATGCTCCTTACCTCTACATACATTTCTGCCCTCCCTGGAGCAGTGTGATCTTCTCTTTTCCAACCTGAGATATACTGACCCATTATTCACTGGGAGCTTTTATAAGAGGTGAAGTTGGGGGTTGAATATGCTCAAAAGGGTTACATGAACCCTGAGGGCAAATTGTCAGGAAGAGCATGGGCAGTTGTGCCCTCCCAGCGGCATCCCCCCTCGAGAGGTGCTCGATGGCACAGCAGGAAAAGCACATGGTGTTCAAGGGCAATGTACCGTGTTTGTGTCCTCTCCCTCTGCCACACTTTCCAAAGCTGGCATTTCTGCAGGGCCCCTTAGACTGGCTCTTGGGGCCTGTGTCTCCCTCCCCACCATTACTAGGCCCCTGCCTTATGCCTGGATGTCTGGATGCCTGCCGATGTACAACAGGTGGCTCTGCAGTCCCTCAGGGCTCCCAGCACCCCTGGACTCCAAGCTGAGCTCCTGACTGCTGGCTCCAGCACAATCTTGGCCTGGAAATTACCAACTGCTTTTGGTAATGACATGGCCAATGATGGATAAATGCTGTACTCCTTCCTCCAGATCCCTTACTAAACTTAAGTATCCAGTACTTAAAAAACAAACAAACAGAAACCCCGCAAAGCACAAAGTCAGCAGGTTTACAATAATTAAACAAAGCCCTGCAGGCAGAGCTGATGCAAAGCCCATGTCCAGAGCAGTGAGGGAAGCTGCAGGTTGGAGCTTGTGTTTGCACCTCCCTTTGGGCCCAGCAGCTGGGGCCTGGCCATGTGGGTTTGAGGACCAGCTGCAAGATGGGGAAACCAGGACTCCTTAGAACAGAAGCTAGGTGCTGAGACTAAAAGAGTTGTGTGAGGCCAATAAACACTGGGCTTGTTTTCCCCTAAAGGCCCCCAGGGTATTAGTTATAGTCAGAACAATTTTCTTAAATCCAACTCTGTGTTTTCTGTCTGCCAGTCTTATGTCTGAGCAGCGTTAAGTTCTGGGAGACGTAAAAGTTACCTGTGGCTGGCACCCGACACTTGAGAGAGCAGAAGAGTTTAAAGTCAGAAGAACTGGATGAAGCAATGTCTCAGTCACTTGCTGGTTGTGGAACCCAGGCACAGCCCAAATCTCCCTGAGCCTGTTTCTCACCTATAAGATGAACAAAAGATGTATTACACAGACATGAAAACCCTATTGTGAGAATCAACTGAGTTAATCTATGCAGAGGGCAGACATGTAGTAGGAGCTTAATCCCCTTTGGTGAAGACTTACTTGTTTATATGTCAGTTTTACATTCAGAAAACTATCAGAACACAACATTTATTGTATTGTAATTATTACTTTATAACTCCCTTTTCCTATTTGATTTAGAACCCCTTAAGAAGAGTTATTCACCAAATGTTTGCTGAATCAGTGAATGAAAAGATGGAAGGACAAGAAAAGGAGAGAGCAGTGGAAAGAAAGATTTTAATAAATATATATGGGAATTTCCTTCTAGCTACTATGTATTCCCCTCAGCACATGGATGCATGAATCCATTTAACAAACATTTGAGGGGGGGGCACATTTGCTGTGTATTAAGTGTTAGATATACAAAGAAAGATAAAAAAGATACTCCAAGAAAAATGAAAAGCTCTCAGGAAAATTATGGTCCAAATATGAAGCAGCTGGCTTGACAAAGAATAGGAGATCACTGTACTTAAAGAAGAAATGAACTGGATTTTGAACAACAGACAGACTGAGTGGTAAAAGGAATAGGGAGAAAAGTCTTCTCTTAACAAGAAAAATGTACAATTCATAACTTTAGGATAGGGGTTGAGGAGGGGCAAGCACAAGAAAGGCAAAATCCAAATATGAAATCAGCTTAAATACGACATGATTTGGAGCAAGTGGTGGAATGTAATAAAGAAATCCATCTGAGGATTTTCCCCTTAAGATGTACAAGAGGAAAGATATTGCAACTACAGAGAAAGATTGGTAACTGGAGCATAGTATTGTACTTGGCTCTGCAATGAACAGTCAGCACCTCCTCATAAATAACCTCAAAGCTTTGTGTTGGCTTCCACTTTTGGAATCAACTTAGAGTTAAGGCAAAGAAAACTTAATTATAATTCCAAAACATCATGTAGATACTCTCAACTTTAGCAATGTATGATTCAGCTCACAGAAATTGAGAGGTGAAGGAATAGGAAGTAAAGGGAGGCGTAATGAATACCCCAGAAGATATGTATTCTTTATTGTCAGAGGTATATTTCAAGGGATATCTGGATCAAAGGTAAATATATATGTAATTTTGTTATATATTACCAAATTCCCTCTATAGGAGTTGTACCATTTCACATTCCTACCAGCAATGAATGAGAGTTCCTGTTTTCCAGTCCTACTTCCGAAGGATAAAAAATGGTATCTCAGTATAATCTTAATTTTAATTTCTCTTATTATGAGTCAAGTTGCATGAATTTTTTATCATTGAAAAGTTTCTTCTAATTTCGATGTAGTCAAATTTATCTTTTCTGTTATTAAATCTGGATTTTACAGTCAAAGTTCAAAGCAGAATTAATAAGAATATACACAAGTCATAGCAGATTTTGCCCATGTTTTATTCTAGCACTTGTGTGGTTTTGTTTTTCATATTCAAGTCTCTGATCCATTTGGATTCCTGAAATAAATCCCATGTGGTCACTGAGCATAATCCTTTCTATGTTGCTGGATTTAGTTTAAGAATTTTTGCATTTATTTTCATGAAGACTAATGCTCTGTAGTTTTCTTTCCTTGTGATATCATTGTCTGGCTTTGGTGTCAAGATAATACTGGCCCCAAAGAATGAGCTGAGAAGAGCTCTTTTGTCTATTTTCTGAAAATGTTTGTGTAAGATTGGCATATATTTGATTCATATATGTGAATTCATTCAACTAGGCCTGGGCTTTTCTTTGTGGGATGATACTAATCAGAATTTTTTACTCATTGTATGCCTATTCAAATTTTCTATTTATTCTTGAGTCAGTTTTGATATTTTTGTGTCTGTCTAGGAATTTGCTCATTTTATAGAAATTATTGAATTTGTTAGCATAAAGTGATTTATAATATTCTCTTATAATTACATTCATTACATATAGCGATGTCCCTTTTTCATTCCTAATATTGGGCAATTTGTGTTTTCTCTCTTTTTCTATGTCAGTATAGCTAAAGGTTTGTCTTTTAAAAAATCTTTTTTTTGTTTGTTTTTTTGTTTTTTGTTTTTGCGGTACACGGGCCTCTCACTGTTGTGGCCTCTCCCGTTGCAGAGCACAGGCTCCGGACGTGCAGGCTCAGCGGCCATGGATCACAGGCCCAGCCGCTCCGCGAGATGTGGGATCTTCCCGGACCGGGGCACGAACCGGTGTTCCCTGCATCGGCAGGCAGACTCGCAAGCACTGCGCCACCAGGGAAGCCCAAGCCCCGGTAAATTTAAGAAAATTGAAATCATATCAAGTATCTTTTCCAACCACAACACTATAAGAGTAGAAATCAATTACAGGGAAAAAACTGTAAAAAATACAAACACATGGAGGCTAAACAATACACTACTAAATAACCAAGAGATCACTGAAGAAATCAAAGGGGAAGTCAAAAACTACCTAGAAACAAATGACAGTGAAAACACAACGACCCAAAACCTATGGGATGCAGCAAACAGTTCTAAGAGGGAAGTTTATAGCAATACAATTCCACCTCAACAAACAAGAAACATCTCAAATAAACAACCCAACCTTACACCTAAAGCAATTAGAGAAAGAAGAACAAAAAAACCCCAGAGTTGGCAGAGGAAAGAAATCATAAAGATCAGATCAGAAATAAATGAAAAAGAAATGAAGGAAACAATAGCAAAGATCAATAAAACTAAAAGCTGGTTCTGTGAGAAGATAAACAAACTGACAAAGTATTAGCCAGAATCATCAAGAAAAAAGGGAAAAGACTCAAATCAATAGAATTAGAAATGTAAAGGAGAAGTAACAACTGACACTGCAGAAATACAAAGGATCATGAGAGATTACTACAAGCAACTATATGCCAATAAAATGGACAACCTGGAAGAAATGGAGAAATTCTTAGAAAAGCACAATGTTCTGAGACTGAACCAGGAAGAAATAGAAAACATAAACAGACCAATCAGAAGCACCGAAGTTGCGACTGTGATTAAAAATCTTCCAACAGGGGCTTCCCTGGTGACGCAGTGGTTGAGAGTCCGCCTGCCGATGCAGGGGATACGGGTTCATGCCCCGGTCCGGGAGGATCCCACATGCCACGGAGCCACTGGGCCCGTGAGCCATAGCTGCTGACCCTGTGCGTCTGGAAGCTGTGCTCCGCAATGGGAGAGGAGGCCACAACAGTGAGAGGCCCGTGTACCGAAAAAAAAAAAATCTTCCAACAAACAAAAGCCAAGGACCAGATGGCTTCACAGGCAAATTCTATCAAACATTTAAAGAACAGCTAACACCAATCCTTCTCAAACTCTTCCAAATACAGCAGAAGGAAGAACACTCCCAAACTCATTCTACCAGGCCACCATCACCCTGATACCAAACCCAGACAAAGATGTCACAAAGAAAGAAAACTACAGGCCAGTATCACTGATGAATATAAATGCAAAAGTCTTCAACAAAATACTAGCAAACAGAATCCAACAGCACATTAAAAGGATCATACACCATGATCAAGTGGGGTTTATCCCAGGAATGCAAGGATTCTTCAATATACGCAGATCAGTCAATGTGATACACCATATTAACAAACTGAAGGAGAAAAACCATATGATCATCTTAATAGATGCAGAAAAAGCTTTTGACAAAATTCAACACCCACTTATCATAAAAACCCTCCAGAAAGTAGGCATAGAGGGAACTTATCTCAACATAATAAAGGCCATATATGACAAACCCACAGCCAACCTCATTCTCAATGGTGAAAAACTGAAATCATTTCCACTAAGATCAGAAACAAGACAAGATTGCCCACCATCACCACTATTATTCAGCATAGTTTTGGAAGTTTTAGCCACAGTAATCAGAGAAAAAAAAAAAAGGTATCCAAATTGGAAAAGAAGAAGTAAAACTGTCACTGTTTGCAGATGACATGATACTATACATAGAGAATCCTAAAGATGCTACCAGAAAACTACTAGTACTAATCAATGAATTTGGTAAAGCAGCAAGATACAAAATTAATGCACAGAAATCTCTGGCATTCCTACACACTAATGATGAAAAATCTGAAAGAGAAATTAAGGAAACACTCCCATTTACCACTGCCACAAAAAGAATAAAATGCCTAGGAATAAACCTAGGAATAAAATGCCTAGGAATATTTATTTATAAAAATAAATAATACCTAAGGAGACAAAAGACCTGTATGCAGAAAAGTATAAGACACTGATGAAAGAAATTAAAGATGATACAAACAGATGGAGAGATATACCATGTTCTTGGATTGGAAGAATCAACATTGCAAAAATGACTATACTACCCAAAGCCATCTACAGATTCGATGAAATCCCTGTCAAACTACCAATTGCATTTTCCACAGAACTAGAACAAAAAACTGTGCAATTTATATGGAAACACAAAAGACCCCGAATAACCAAAGCAATCTTGTGAAGAAAAATGGATCTAGAGGAATCAGGTTCCCTGACTTCAGACTATACTACAAAACTACAGTAATCAAGACAGTATGGTACTGGCACAAACACAGAAATATAGATCAATGGAACAGGATAGAAAGCCCAGAGATAAACCCACACACCTATGATCACCTTATCTTTGTTAAAGGAGGCAAGAATATACAATGGAGAGAAGACAGCCTCTTCAATAAGTGATGCTGGGAAAACTGGACAGCTACGTGTAAAACAATGAAATTAGAACACTCCTTAACACCATACACAAAAATAAACTCAAAATGGATTAAAGACCTAAATGTAAGGCCAAACTAAAACTCTTAGAGGAAAACATAGGCAGAACACTCTATGGCATAAATCACAGCAAGATCCTTTTTGACACACCTCCTAGAGGAAGGGAAATAAAAACAAAAATAAACAAATGGGACCTAATTAAACTTACAGGCTTTTGCACAGCAAAGGAAACCATAAACAAGATAAAAAGCCAACCTCAGAATGG